AGACGGGGTTTCACCATGTTGACCAGGATGGTCTCGATCTCTTGACCTCGTGATCCACCCGCCTCGGCCTCCCAAAGTGCTGGGATTACAGGCGTGAGCCACCGCGCCCGGCCTACATAAAGCATTTGACATTAACGACATCTGTAGTATTATTCTGACATCTAAACTTTTCACCTGGACATATCTTTCTAGCACAGACAAATGGTAAGCATTGTGAGGGAGGGGAACAAGATTTTATGTATTTTTTTTTTGTCCCCACTGATGCTTAGCATAGTGCATTGTATATTTTAAAGGCTAAATAGAGACAGATTAAAAAGTTGTGGCCAGAAACCTGTAAACACTTTCAAACTACAAATGGGTAGTATTTGTTATTGATGTGTTTTCAGATTTTACCAAGTAATTCCAATAATTATTTCTGTACAGAGAATTTTTTAAAAGTTGTACAATATGACTGTTTTTATAGTGGTCAGGCTATTATAAATCCAGAGATTTGTCTTTTAGCATCAGAATTGCTTGTTAAAATGGGAAAGGAGATAAACAAAGATAGGGTCCTTGTTAACTCATTAATATTCCCTATAATGAAAAATGTTGCCAGAAAGAAATAGCCGTGGTAATACGTGTAATCAATCTAGCCAGGGAAAAGTGATGCAATTTGTTATCTTTACAGAGTTGCTCTGTTCGCTAGTCAGCTAGTTGGCATATTTATCAAATGCCCAGTTGGTGCATAATAGTGTACTGTTTCTCTGTGCTGCATGCTCCTTGAGCTTCATTCATTCATTCACTCACTTTTTCACTGTTCTTTCTTTAGTTCCCATTTTTTGGCATGTCCATTATATGCACGTTACTGTTACAAGTCCTGGAATAATAACGGTGAGCAAGGCAATTTTATCCTCAAGACAGAGTCAGTGGAGGGGAAAGTCACAAAAACAGACAATTAAAAAATGAAAGAATATGGAAGTGAATTTCTTGTATTTTTTATTTTGAGACTAGAGTCTCTATCCCTCATGCTGGAATACATTGATGCAATCTGGACTCACTGCAACCTCCGCTTTCCGGGCTCAATCAATTCTTGTTACTCAGCCTCCCACATAGCTGGGATTACAGGCATGCTCCACCATGCCCAGCTAATTTTTTTGTATTTCTAGCAGAGATAGAGTTTCCCCTTTTAGGCCAGGTTGGTCTCAAACTCCTGGTCTCAAGTGATCTACACGCCTCAGCACCCCAAAGTGCCAGAATTAGTGGTGTGAGCCACTGTGCCTGGCCTGGAAGTGAATTTGAGAGATGATATTACAAAACTATTCTTTCATCCTGACTATAGTAGTATGCCCAGAGATGATCTGATTTTGGCGGAAGTAGAGTTCTTAAAGGGACTCCATCCTTAGCAAGACTGAAAAGGAAAGTGCCAGACTTTGTCTAATTCAGGAGATATCAAAGCAGGCAGCAAGATGAGTTGCAAGCATTCTTGCCTGAAAGAAACTGTACTAGTTTTCTAGGGCTTCCATAACAAAGCACCACAGACTAGATGGCTTCAGTAGCAGAAACTGATTTTGTCAGAGTGCAGGAGACTAGAAGTCTGAGATCAAGGTGCCAGGAGGGTTATTTATCCGAGGCCTCCTTCCTTGGCTTAAAGATGGTCATCTTTTCCCTGTGTCTCCATATAGTCTTCCCTCTGTGTGTGTCTGTGTCATAATCTCTTTGTTTTATAAGGATATCAGACATAATGAATTAGGGCTTACCCATATGTCCTCATTCTAACTTAATTAGCTCTTCAGAGAACCTATCTCTAAATACAGTTTGAGATACTGTGTTTTTGGGAGGAACCTAATTCAGCCCATAACAGGTACCAAGAGTGGGTCTAACAGGGTCAGAAATCCCAACTTCTACAGAGAAGGAAAATCAGATCCAGATAGAGCGGCTGTCTAGATGCTTATATAAGAGCCCAGTTGAGGTGTGGCTTGGTTATGCTGCATTTCAGTTTAAAATTTGCCTGCATGCTGCTAAATGGATGTCTTAGTGCAATGGAGTCTATGCATGACCTTACCCTTTGAAGTTGTTTTAAACATTCCTTGATTCCTCTGGCCCATTGAAGACAACTATGTGTTCTAGAAATTTAAGAATTTGCAAAGGGAGCAAGAGAGGACATCTTAACCACAGTTTCTGCAATTGGCATGTGGTATATTATTTAACTCATTCCCTACTCCAAGGAGTAATTTCCTCTGAAATTTTACAGTAGTCCCATATTAGGACTCTAAAGTGTAGAATGAGGGAATTGTAATATAATGTACGATCCTTTAATTGCAGTAATAAAAACAAATGAAAAGTGTGTTAAACCAGTGTTTCCAAACTTCTCTGATGTTGAGACTCGCTGTTTAAAAATCATAGCTTTCCAGCCCCTTTCCTGGGGTATTCTGATTTGCGGCTGGGGTAGAACCTAGAAATTTATACTTTAAAAAATGGTACGATATATGTTTCTTATATTTATAGAAGTTTTGCAAGCAAATCGAGTCAACACTATCAGTTTGGGTCCAGGCTCTTTCTATGTGCTCTGCTTGCATTACTGGGTTTACCATTAGTGTGACCCTGACACTCAGGGCCACAAAATGATGCTGACGTATTGCATTCGCAGCAGAAGAGGAACAGTTTCTTCTGACATGTTGCCAAGAGAAAGAAGGAAAGTGAGAAGGAGGGAGGGAAAAAGAAAGGAAGGACAAGGGAAAGAAGTAAAGACCCTAATTGAGAAGTCCCTCAGCTTATCTCTCCATGCGTCTGCAGCACATGCCCACCCTTAAACCACAGGGAAGGGAATTACCATGTTTGGTCTAAACTATTCAGGATTTGCCATTGACCTTGTGATAGTTCAACTTTTTCTAGGTGTGTATCTTCACAGAGACAGATAGACACCCAAATAATAAGGCAGAGTCATAAGGGATTGAATGGGCAAACGCTGATGTCTCCTACAACTAACTACAGTTAATACAGCAATGTTACCAGCCAAAGTAAAATTAGAATTAGGTAATCAATGTTGATAGGAAATAGCTAATATTTATTCAGTGTTTATTATGTGAATGACACTGCGTTCTAAGGGCTTTATGTGGATTAAAATAATTAAGCCCACAACATATGATGATGCAGGTGCTGTTATATTAATCCCATTTTACAAATGAAGAAATTGAAACAGTAATGTTAATTAGCTTATCTAAGATCATATAGCTCTTAAGTGACTGAGCAAAGACTTGAGTCCTGGCATGCTGGGTTGCTCCAGAACTACCCTCTAAATCATATTCTATTCCACTTGAACAGATAGTAAAGCTGTACTTAACAAATACAAATTGTGCTTGTGTGACAATTTGTGAAATTGGTTTGGTGACTTGTTGCATTGTTCATCTGTCCTCTATTTAACAAGCACAAATAAGCACCTTCTATTGGCAAAGGAATATATCCGGGGGCTACGAAATTTCGAGAATGAGTAAGAAGTGATACAACTCTCTTGAAAGAATGTCCTTCAGTGGAGGAACTAGGCTTTCAATCAATTAATTGTAATAGAATATAAAATAAGGTAGAATGTAGCAAATAGTAAACAAAATACAAGGAATCTGTTGTTGGATTGAAGATAAAACAACAGTTAATTCCTACAGGATAGATCAGAGAAGATTCACAAAGAGTGTTTACGTCGAGGGAGAGGAGGACATTCCAGGCTTAGAGGA